CACATTTCTAACATAGGGGTCTTGTGACCCTCAGGGAAGCTTCCTCAAGCAACTCAAATAGCATAGTTTAACTTTTTCTTTTTTTCAACTGGAGGCCCTGTGTGTAATTAATATTGAAAAGTGCATACAGCTTTATTGAAGCCAAACTTGCTCTTCTGCTAACAGTTCACTTTGTCCAAGAGTGAATAATTTCAGAATAAGACTTATGGAAGAAAAATACATTGAATTTAACATTGCTTCAGATACATTTGCTCCACTTATTGCTTCCCGAGTCAGACATTACATTTTGCAATATAAATTCACAATCAAGATTTTAAAGGGAGCTAAATATTTTAATCCAATTAGACAAGTGAACAAAACACTGAATATTACATGCAGTGTAGATAAGTGGTTCTTGCCTTTAAAAGACTGTAATTCCGTCACATTACAACCCCAAATGTCAATGTTGTCTTTATTTTTAACGCTTTCAAACATGAGGCAGCCAGAGGCTCCACTCTCTGCTGTTGGTGACACTGTCTGTCCTTTGGGAAATTCTTAAAAATCTATTTACCATGGAAACACGGTTCGTACAAAACACAGACCCCTGCCCATGTGCCCGGGAAGTTTCTCGTGACTCATGGAATTCAAGAAAGCTGGAGGATGACAAAGTCGGGATCCCGCGGACTGTGGCAGGAACCGTCGTATGTGTTGGAGTGTGCTCTGGGGAAGACATGGCGAGCAGATGCCAGTCATTGGCTAGTGGGTCCGCCCACCTGACCACTCCTGTCTGTGCATGGGGTCCTCTGCCTTCCCCCCATGTCTCAAGTCCACATCGAGGTGCTGTTTTCCAGGAAGCTAAGGAATCACTGTGTTCACCTTCTTTCTGCAAGAAGGTCTGTCCTGCCTCTACCGGTGCTGTCTTCTGGCTTCTGCAGTTCTTTTCCAGTGTGGGAGCCGAGAGGCAGCAAACCCAGGCCCCAGAGTTCAGGGAGAATCGAGCTTGAACTCTGACTGCCACAGAGCTTTCATTGTCTGGGGCCCAGCCGGGCAGCCATGGGGGAAGAACAAAATGAGGGTCTGCGGCGACCTTGCTGTGAACTCGCCCATTTGGCAGCTGCTCCAGCCGGAGGGGAGGCAGTTCAGCCAGGGCTTCAGTGACTTGTGCGGGAAGAGGCAGGCCCCGCTTGACCTGGAGTCCGCGACCGTGAGCCCTGTGCTGGCAGGGAACCGCCCTCCAACAGGTCAGTGGTCACGTCTGAGCCGCATTTCCAGAGTCCCACAGAAGGACTGGGGAGGACAAGTTAATGACCATCCACAGGTCACGAGGCTTATACAGTCCAGGTTGCCTGATATATTTGACTGCTGCTTAATCCCACAAACACCAAACTTGGTGGCTCTTTCACTAAGTTGGTTGGAATAGCATTAAAAAGAGCCTGGACTTTGAGGTCAAACTGCCTGGGTTCAAATCTCAGTTCTGGACCACTTCAGTTAAGTTTTTAGCTTCCATATCAGTCCATCAATCAATTTCTGGTTGAAAAAAAAAAAATCAGTAATAGAACCAGCTTTCTTTTAAAAGGGAGCTCTCTGCATTACCAGAGCCCGGAAGAGAGCGTCCACCAGGGTGGCACTGAGGTCACTGTAGGCTTGAAAGGGCCACTTGGAGAAATCACTTAACATCTTTCTGCACAGGTGGAAAAATCAGGCCCAGAGAGGTGGAGTGAATAGAGCTGGGAAATGAATGGGCAGAACGAACTTCCAGAGACTGATGTTCATTCCCTGGGCCTTGGGCTGCACGGAACGGGGAGGTGGGGGTCTTCTCTCCCAGGCAGCGGCTTGGAGCTGGGCCCCAGCTGAGCAGCTACAGAACTGTGGCCTGGCTCCCGACGTGGGGGCAGCATGAGGCAGGTACTGGAGGCTTCCCTGGAGCTCTGTCAGCTGAGGCCGAGCTCTGAAATACCCCACGTGGAGGCTGGGGGAGGGCTTCTGTCCTCTTGAGTTAAAAATAGATGCTTTTCTGCCAGAGGCCTGAGGAACAGGTTCTTTTTTTTTTTTTCCAATCCTGGTCAGAGACAGAAGATGTACACATGAGCAAAGGAGGGCGCTAGAAAGGGAGATATTCCACTTGGAGGGGCTGCTAAGAGGCCAGGTGGAGATGAGTAGAGAAGAGGCAGATGGAAACACGGGGCAGGCCAGGTCTGAGCATCCCTGTGAGGCCTCGATGGTGCCGCAGTGTCCCTGGGCCACAGGCTTGGGGAAAAAACAGAGAAGGCTGGGTTGGACCCCAGGTATGGTTGCTTGGGGAACAGTTCAGATCACCCAGAGAGACTCATTAAATTAAACTCTGAATTAAGTTAAACTTCAGTAAAAAATTAGACGCACAAGTCAGGGTTTGTGGAGAGAAGGCTCCGTTAGTGTTTAAAAAGAAAACGAGTCAGGGATACTGGGCTTGCAGTTGGGGAGCATTTATGTCATCTGTGGACAACCCTTCAGAGGAGCAGCTGCCAGGGGGCTGTCAGCCCTCCGCCCTCTGCGGGGCAGCCACCAACAACTGCAGGTGTGGCCACACCATCCACAGGCCATGGCGAGGGGCCTTGGTGACAAGTCTGAAGGCATAGTGATGGGAAGAGGGTGGCTGAGGGCGCCAGCCACAGTTCACACTGGCTGTGTCCCACATACAGCCAGACCATGACCATGTGGTGCGGACGATGAGCCACCTTTCTGGAACTAGGCACGGCTGACGTCCTAAGTGATGGCAGATGAGGAGATGTTAGTAGTGCAGTTAGTTGTTCAGTTGTATCCAACTCTTTGTGACCCCATGGACTGTAGGGCTCTTCTGTCCACAGGAATTCTCCAGGCAAGGATACTGGAGTGGGTTGCCATTCCCTTCTCCAGGGGATCTTCCCCACCCAGGGTTCAAACCCGGGTCTCCTACATTGCAGGCAGATTCTTTACCATCTGAGCCAAGCAGGGCAGAGCCAGATGTTGGCAGTAACTAAAGCTTCTCTCTGGACATGCTCGCGGTTACAGACAAGAAACATTCTTTACTAAAGATCCAGCCACCTGAGGGTGACACCAGAGCTGGTTAGCAGGAGGACAATGATGTTATAGGGTAAATTATTCATTCAGTCACATTTGCTGAGTGCTCATGATGCATCAGGCAGTAAACAGGAAGTTCTGTGATATAAAAGTGGAGAGGAGTACAGGGCTTTGCCAAACCAAACCAAAGAGAAAACCTTTGATTGCTCCCAGGAATCTCAGGTTGACCCCTGCAGGAGCACTAGCAGGAATGGGCCAGGTTCCTGAAGAGACTCGTGTGAGAAATACCTGTTTCCTGGAGCCTGGGTTTAAAAAAATTCTGCAACATGGTTCCCTTCTACTTAAGGTCTTTACTGTCCTGTGTTGTTCACGTTATAGGTGTTGTGCTTTCCACCTCAAGTTTGAAATTTTTTTTTTTAAATGTGTCTATTGTGGTTTATACTTGTAGTCAAAGATGTCCTCGAATCTCTAAAGTTAGAAAGTAAGCCACCTTCTCCAGAGAACATGGTGGGCAGGCAGTCTGCCCAGCTAGGCGACAGGCAGGCCATTCAAGCCCATCATTCACTGATCATTTCCATCAGGACCAGAAGGCCAATCGGCTCATGGAGGTCACGTGTTTGATGCAAACAGGGGCACTCTTTCTGCAATGGCAGGGCTCTAGGGCTCCCTGGCCTCCCGGTGGCACTCCAGGGCCCCATGGGCACCAAAGAAGAGGGCCCGTCCACCTCCCCAGCCCCCAGAGAGCCACGTACAGACCCCACATGCTTCCTCACCATGCCTGGGGCCTCCCGCTGTGTGTGATTGGGGTGCACACCTGAGAGCAATCACCGTGTCAAAACTCAGACTTGCTCGTTAAAAAATCACGAGTGTCTCACACTGGGAAATCTACTTGACAAGTAAACATCTCATTTTTTAAAAAAAGGCAACCGACTAATTTTCATATTTTTCTTGTGCAAACTGACCTTGGTTTCACTCACTGTCCTATCTTGGAAATCCTCCACAAGTAATAGTGGTTTAAGCTGGGGAGACAGGAGCCCTGTCCAGCACAGGCAATCTTTGCTGAGGAGTGTAGAGCCCACTTGCTTTTCTTGAAGATGACTCTCACCCAATCAGAGACCAGATGGGCCCAGATCCCTGCATTACCTTCCCATTGGTCTCTTGAAGTGAAAACTGGGATTTGGTAGTTATCATTTCAGCCCTCTACCTAGTCCCTGTCACCCTGGTGACTTCATGCTCCTAGAGGGCAAGTCAGCTGCCCACACAGTGCACAGCAGTTTCCTGAGAAATGCCGTGTGCAGCGTTAACTATCTCCAGTGGTTCCTGACATGGTTTAAACTGATCTCAACAGCCACCTCAGCCAGGACAGGCAGCAGTATTCAGTACTTCACTAACCTGCGAATCCCTCAACCCAATTCTCCTGAGCTAGTTTTGAAACATTTATTCCTGTTTAAAACCAAGAGACCACATCTGCCAAGTTCCCTCTTCCAGCCTGTGGGAGGTGGTGTCCATATGAAAATGCCTTTATATGTGATAAAACACACTGCATTTAAACATTTGGAGGTGTTAGCTTGTATCATTTCACCAGGAATTTCTTAGGGACACTTAGTCTACATCCTGGTTTTCTTTTCTTTTTTTGGTCTAGTTTTACTCTAATTCTGAACAGTTTTCAGTAAACAGTTCCTGGCACAAATCCATGTCTCCTTTCTCCTGTTCACAGGGGAAGAGATGGGTCTCTTTGGCTGTTTTCTGTCTTCAGACACATACATGTCTGGAATATAGCTTGTTTTCAAATTTAAAACATTAAAATAAGAGTTCACCTTATACACCTATAGACTTTTCATACAATTGGTTACATACAACTATATTTTTTTGCAAAAGAATTTCCTCCAAAAGCTTGGAAAGAGGTCACCAAACCAGCAAGAAGACAAATCACATTGAAGAACATGATCTATTTAAACTTACTTTTTATTATCATTTTTTTCCAGTTACCCAGCATGCCACAATCTGATTGCTGACCTGGATGAAACAGAGTGAAATAAATGATTTACAAAGAGATATTTACATTCATCTGATTTGTACGTAATATGCCACAATGCATCGCGACCTTCCCAATGGACCCCACCTCAGACTGCGGTGGGCTGTGTCGTCATCGCCACATTCATTGCCAAGCGGTCCCTGCAGGACGGACAGGCTGGAGCTGAAGTCTGACACTAGATGAGGAGACCTCCTGGTGTATGTTTTCAGAAAAGGCTTGAAGTTATTATGTTTTTATATCTGCTCATTTGTATGCTCTATTACACATACGAATTTCAATAAATGAAATTTTTGAAGACTCGAATTGAAATGTTTCCTTTATATCTTGTAGTGATGAAAAAAACACACCAAAAAAAGGCACATATTTTTTAACTAGGCTAAAGGGTATTAAGGACCAAACCTTTTTCCTACCGTTCATGTTTCTTTCCCTCTGGGTGATCTATACATATTATCCTTCAACTTTATTTACTTGTAATCAGCATCTCATAAGACTCCACTGTTTATCATCGTGCTCACTTGTGCACAATCAGAAGACACCAGGAAGCACTAAGCATTATCCTCTCCACTCTGCTAACGACAAAAACAGACAAAAAGCATCTTTGGCTTGGTGGTGTCATGTTTTTCCTTCAATATGAGTAACTGAGAGGAGCCTAAAAACGTACTCAGTGAAATTACAAAATTTACTTAAGTTCTATCAAACATCTGTACACAGATCATTATTTTAGTTTAAAATAGTATTTCTACTATACACAATTAAGCCCTCAAATGCTTCAAAGTAATACAAATGGGCACTGAAAGTGTTATGTTGTCCTTGAGGATGACAAGGAACACTGAGGGCAAGGCTGCAGTCGGGACAAGTCCCTAACCTCGGGCCGTTCTCCCTGGCACAGATCTATCATCATCGTCATCACATCACCATCATGGCCTCTCAGATGGATGCGGACTAGGCTCCGGAGGCGGTGGGATGATACACCTGCAAAGACCATCCGAGTCTCTTGAGCATGGACAAGGTTCAAGCCTGAAAGAACAGAACTTCTATTCAGATTCAGAAGTTTTCTTGATTTCATCAACTGTGCTAGACATCAAGGTTGTCACATAAGATATATTAATTGTCCCTAATTCTATTTCAGGGACAGTAAATAAATTATACAATATTCTAAAAATATAGCACCTTTAAAGAATTATAGAGGTCACTTTATGTAAGCCTCCCGGATCTGTCAACCCCAGTGGTTTTGAGAGAAGAGCACGTGTTAGAATGCCCTCCAGTTTGGCTGCGTGACACACACATACATGCTTGACCAGCTTTGGTCCCAAAGCTGTTCCTCTATCTGGCTTAGTCACAGGAGCAAAGCCAAGTTTCATCAATAGTAGGTTTATGAGGTAAAATCAGAAAAAGGCCCCATCCAAAATGACCCTAGGTAAATCAGACTGTAGTCCAACCATCCTACCCATCTATTATCCATTTCTATGTTGGTTAATCTGCCATGAAGTTTTAAAAATATGCTCTTAAGAAAGGAAGTATGCAGAGCAACACATGATCAGGAAGACACTGCTGATGAGCTACACTCCTTAAGAATTCTGGGTTCAAACCACCTGATGTGAGGACTATTAGGGCTTAACAAATCTCCACAAAGATTAATCTCCAGCTTCACAGATCTCTTCTAGACCCGCTGCTGAGAAGTCAGCATCCCCCCGTTGGAAGCAGCCCTTTTGTACAGTTGCACTATTGCCATTTTATTGAAGTAGTAAAATAATAACCCTGTGTGTTTTTCAAGCTACAAGAAATTTACATACTTTCCTGTTTCCTAGAATGCAGTAATACCAGGTGGACCTATTAAATCTTTTCAGAAAAGAAGGATATTTAATTTTCTGAGATTACAGAACCACATCCAACGACAATAAACAGAGAAGTAGCAGATTGACATAGTGCTTTATTTAAGCTGTCTGTACGAAGGAAAATAATGTGCGTCCCTATCATATACGTGTAAAAATACTAAGGATGTACAGTGTACAAAAACAGTTTCTTGTAGTTATTTCACATCCTTGTGGGTCATATACTTAAGGAAAGAAACAGTTTTAGTATGACCAACAGTAAGAGTAAATACAGTTTCTTGGGTTCGTAGTTGCGTCTGCTTAAAATCCTTAACCAGATGACTAGATCTTGTGCGGATCTAATGAAAGAACTAGCAAGGTCAAGAAATGTCACAAACTATAAAGCTACAGGGAGGTAATTCAATTACCAATTTAGAGGTTTTTCTTTTTATTTAAATAAATACTTTACATTTCATGCTTGCCTGTAATGCACTACCAGGAGCAAGATAAGGAAATTCTACTGTAGACAGTACAAACAGTAGCAGCAAAGTGTACACTGACGTGTAATAGAAAGACCCTGCAGTTAGTAAGGAAGGCCCTTACTATGGACTCTAAGAGAAGCAAGTGGCCCCTGCAAGAACAGTCAGCTTTGAGAAGCTGGAGATCGGGTATGGGAAATGGGAAACACTGGAATAATGCTATGGAGTTAGTGTGGAAAGCAAAGCTCTGAGCAGCCCTGCCAGAAATCCACGCAGAAATGGCCAATTTCCTCCAAGATGGCTGCATTACGGCCAAGAGGCAGACTTCGTGAAAGTCGGTACAGGAAAGAGTCTGCAAAGCCTGAACTCCCACTATCCCAAAGAGTGACTCCAGGTTCAGGCCTTTCCATCTGCCAGAATCCAAAACTTCAGCTATGGGCAGACACGAGGGAAGTTTTAGAATCTCCTTCTACACACAGTTTCTGTTTCTCTCTGTTCTTCCATGTCAGCTGACTGAGATCAGGGAATGAAAGTAAGGGATTCTCAAAATCAAAGCCAAGAAAACACCTTGTGTGCCACTAACGGCATCTCAGAGGGTGCCCCAGGCACCAGCTGGGGACGGAGAGCGGCTGTGCAGAGTGGCCAGCCTGGGGCACAGTCAATGCTATCATTAATCCATAGAAGTGTCCTTGGCCAAGGTCATGGAAATCACCTTAAGATTTGGGGGGGAAAAAAACAAAACAAACAACCCAAAACCAAAACCATCTGTGTGCTAGTGTATGGTATTATACTTTCCCTCTGCAGAAATGAATGCTCTGAATGCCAGCCAGCCTCAGCTTTCCTCTCTTCCTCTTGCCTGTTTCTTTTTTATATAATGGATGCAAGACAACTTACAGGACATACCTTCTAGTCTACTTCCTTGTCAAAGTGAAACATTCAACATAATTCCAAGTGGAAAAAAAAAAAGTTGAGCTATATGTGTAAGTAAGAATGAACTACCATTGACTGTAACTTCCTACTCAGTACTAAGGATGAACTTCACTCAGATAGAGATATGAAAAATTAGGATAAAATCTATGTCTGAATGTGTCTTAGCTGCCTTAGTAAAATGCCCTTTAACCCCCTGTCAGTCCCAGTGGTCCACCCACCGCCAGCAGTGGTTTCATGTCTATAAACCCACACTTCCAGCGTCAAGAGGCTAAGACATCTGCATATGAATATGATTCATCCCACTTAGAAAGTCACTTGCTCTTTCATACAATGCAATCATAACACTACGGCACGCTGTAGTCTTCCATTTGGGAGCTGTCAGATAGTTTAACTAAAATACATCTCCACGATGGCTCCATGGAGTCAGGAGGCCTCCAGCTTGCCACAACAAGGGCCCCCTGCCCCCTGGACTTCATAGGTTGCTTTGGAAAATGTCAGCTCCTAGCACCAAAGGGTTTAATCTGAAGATCATCATTAATGAAAGAGAAAGATGAGGTTTGCATACATGTCCCCTTTCAGTGAGAAATGTTGGAATTTGAGGACATGAGTATATACAGAAAAAGAAAAGTCAGAGGTGTTCTTTTTTGTTTTGTTTTTCTCCCTGATGGCTTAATTCAGTGATAAATGTACCATGATCAGAATAAACACACCAGGTCCTTATTCTTTACTGCCCACTTTGTAAATAACTTGAGATGTGTTCATTTTGCAAAATAAAGTCCATTTCTTATCGTCCAGGTCTCAATTTTCTTCATTATATTATGTTGCCAGGCCATCATAACCTTTCAATTCTTCAAAATAGCAAATATAACATCCATTTGTTTCCACCCCTTGGCATAGATAGTTGAGGATTTCTCATTTTAGCACCAAGGGGTTGAATGACAGCATCTCTTCTCCCAAAGCCAAATTCTAATCTATATGTACAATTTCAGAGCCTCATCAAAAATTTTTTTACACAGGAGAAAAAGTGCATGAGTCTCACTGGCGTGTACATTCTTTGCACATGGGTCAAAAGAAACTGCAGTAAGTCTATTTTATGTAAGTTGGAGCTGCATTTGCTAACATGACATACAGTTCTCATCACTAAAAAATAAATACTACTGCAATATAAACAAAATCATAAAAGGACATTCGAAGTTTTAACATCTGAGAAAAAGCTATTTCACGTAGAACTGAAAGTAAAACAAATCGAAACAAATGAGGTGAACACCTGTTCACCTCGGTGTACAGATTTTGGTGAAAAACAGGATCGTTACACCTGTCTACATTCTTCAGCCATCAGAGGTGATAATATCAGGAAGGGGAAGAGGTTTCCAAGCACAGGGGAAATAAAATGCTCTCTGGTGCAAATCATATTGGAGACCCTTACGTCACCTACTCTGCTGTGCACACGCTTCCTTCCTTGGCAGAAGGATGTTCCTTTGCCAATAAGAGCCTGTGAAATCTGGACATCCACGTGGAGCACCAGGCTTCCTCTGCAGTACTGAACAGGAATTTAAATTTATAAATGTATCTGTCTATCTTAACAGTTGTTCAGTCCTTCTCTCAAATGCTTCCTAATGAATTCCAGCCGGATCTTACTGATATATACCTATTTTATGCACTCAGCTGATATGCTTTACTAAGATTCTGCATATGCACATCACCACGCTTCCACAGTTGCTTGTTCTGAATTAAAAACTAAATCTTCTTAGTCTAATTAGTTTTTGATTTATCATCTAGAAAGTTAAAAAATGTACCTAGAATCATTTAGCCTTCACTGTTAGGGAAAAACAAAAATTAAAAGATCAAAAGATGACAGTTGGTGCACAAATGAACAATGGTGGGCTCATGACTTTCAAAGATTGTAAAATTACCTCTTAAAGTTGCTATAATAGTAAGACAGTAGCAGCAACAGCATGAGACCTTAGACTGAGATACAATTTCATGCAAAAACAAAAATGTCGAGTGTGTCTGCGTATATGTGTATTCTCATGTGTGTGAAAGGCGGCGAGGGGTGAAGACCTTGGACTGGTCTGGGATGTCTGAAGGTGCTCCTGCATTTGTAAGAGTTAGGACTGCTGTGATGTCCAGGAATCATTTTCAGTAATAAACCTAAGATGACAGTGAAGTAGCAGAAGTAAAGAGACTTATTCTCGTCCACTTGCAGAGTAGGAAAACTGAGGGAAGTGCGGCCGCCTCTCATTGTCCATGCAGTCCATACCGTCCTCATCATCTGTGGACAGGAAACAGCTATTTTAATTTTATGTTAACTTTTTGCAACATAATCTCTGGTCTATATAGCTCTAACTCCTAACAAAATAAAGATTAACAGAGGCTAATGCTCCCAGAAACTTGTCTCTCAATAGAACATACAATGGATACACTTACCTCAAAAACCATCTCATTTTCAAACATATAATCTATGAAAAAATAATACTGTCAAATCATTTCCTTCATGACACAAGACTCAAAACTGTGAAAAACTATTGAAGAAAAGATTCATGTCAATGTATGGCAAAAACTACCACAATGGTGTAAAGTAATTAGCCTCCAATTAAAATAAATAAATGGAAAAAAAAGATTTTTAAAAATAAAAAGGAAGAAACCATCTTCAGTTTCCTTTAATTTCATGAAATCATGCTGGTCAAAATTACAAAGCCAAAGAATCCTACGGCACTCAAAGTTATCTGCTAATATTTCCAGTATCAATCTGTCTTGAAATGCTTGTATTTCTTCTTCATGGCACTTTCGGTGTGATTGCAAAATTAAGTTTATTTGTGACTCCATTTCATCTGAGCCCCTGATTACATGGTTAAGATTTTACATTCTTTACATCTAATACTTGCTCTAACTCATCAATCCTAATTTTCCTATGATAAAACTTTAAACTAGAATAAAGAGAGTAAGTCAAGGAAAGAAAGGAAAAGATGTCAGCATCTTAGGTACTAGTTCATCAGGAAACAAACTGAGAGATTTGAAAGGCATGGAAAGAGACTGTTTTCACTTAAGGAATTCCTCCCTTTGCTCCTCTCTTTTTTCTTGCATTTGAAAGATTACAAAGGGTCACCCAACCTTTTCCCATAACTATTCTGATGATTAAAATCTTGTAGTATCAGAATGTTCTTCCTTCTTTGGGTCATGAATTCAGTCACTTGGTCTACCACGTTCCCGGTGCATCTGCTCTGGGCTCTGAACAAAGTCCCTCCTGTCCTTGGGGCTCACTGTTTGCAGGGGAGGTGCCCCATTAAATCCCTCTGCTCTGCTCAAAGTGCCTTTGGTCATATGCTATCCTATATGAAACAAGTGCTGCTGCTGCTGCTGCTAAGTCTCTTCAGTCGTGTCTGACTCTGTGTGACCCCGTAGATGGCAGCCCACCCAGCTCCCCTGTCCCTGGGATTCTCCAGGCAAGAACACTGGAGTGGGTTGCCATTTCCTTCTCCAATGCATGAAAGTGAAAAGTGAAAGGGAAGTTGCTCAGTCGTGTCCGACTCTTAGCGACCCCATGGACTGCAGCCTACCAGGCTCCTCCATCCATGGGATTTTCCAGGCGAGAGTACTGGAGTGGGGTGCCATTGCCTTCTCCGATGAAACAAGTGAGTCTTTCAAATACCCAACCTTCTTTCCTTCCAGCAAAATAATTCCCCTTCCTCAAAAATATATAGGAAATATGTGTTACCAATTCTTTTAATTTTCCGGCCTCTCCACAGAATGGGAGAAGGAACACGGGCCAGACCCTGCTGTGTCGTGGACACTGACCCTGTCACACAAGAAGGATGTTGCTCTGCATTCCTCTGAAGAATAACAAACACTGCTGCCCTTTCCTTTCCTCACTGCTCTTTTCAGTATCCTGGTTTTTTTTTTTAACTAAAAAATTCTTTAAAAATTTTATTTACTTATTTGGCTGTACTGGGTCTCAGTTGCTGAGCAAGCTCTTCTCTAGCTGTGGCGAGTGGGGGCTCCTCTTCAGTTATGGTGCAGTGGCTTCTCTGGTTCTGGCACGCGCTCTGGCACGGGCTCCAGGGGTTGTGGGCTCAGCAGCGGTGGCCCCCAGGCTCAGCAGCTTGGCGCACAGGCTTGGCTGCTCCGAGGCATGGGGATCTTCCCGGACCAGGGATTGAACCCATCTCCTCCATTGGCAGGCCGATTCTTCACTTCTGAGCCACCAAGGAAAACCCAGCACTCTATTTTGAACAGAAGATTCTGGCCTTGGGTTTGATCCCTGGGTTGGGAAGATCCCCTGGAGAAGAGAACAGCTACCCACTCTAGTATTCTGATCTGGGGGCCGCAAAGAGTTGGACACAACTGAGCGACTTTCACATCATCAGAAATGGGATCAAGTTGCTAACCAAAATTTGTAGCCTTGAATATCCCAGGAAATATCATTGTATTAGGTAGGACTCAATCCATCAAGAAGCAGTTGTGGTTTCCGGCTCCCTGTAAACCCTCCTCCTGCAAGCAGACCTTTTAAACTCAGCATTTCCAGACAGCACTGTGATTTAGGGAAATCTCTGCCTCCGTATAAAATAACTGGTTGGGGATCAAGCAAACCACAAGCATCTTTTAGGTCAAATACCTTCCATAGTATTTTCAGACATACTCAAGACGGAGGACACAGAGGATGGCCTATCTGTTCTGAGTCACAAACTATAAAAACTCTCCAGGGCAGCGGTCCCCAGCTTTTTTGGCACCAGGGGCCAGTTTCGTGGAAGATAATTTTCCACGGACCAGGCAGTGGGGGATGGTTTCGAGATGATTCAAGCGCGTTTACTATGCACCTTATTTCTAAACTCACTGACACCGCTGATCTGACAGGAGGCCCTGGTCTGTAGCCCGGAGGTTGGGGAAGCCCTGCTCTAGTAGAAAGGCAGCTGAAATCTTAACACTCAGACTCTGCCAATCACATTGCAAAGAACACTTCTCCCCACTAGCACCTTCATCTCGCTGGGTGTGTTCTGGCACAGCGAACAGACAGCATGTGTGGGAAGCCTGATGTTGTCTGGCCTCGGACACAGAAGGACTTGCCCAGCTCCCTGAGCTGCAACCAGGACTTGCACCAAGGTGGGGAAGGCCTGGAGACCAGGGCAGTCAGGCTCGTGACAGGAGGAGGGCTTGGATTTCCTTTTTGAGGATTATTGTTGCTATGAGGCAGCAAAGTTAAGAGAAACTTTTCATTCTGACACTTTAGGAACAAGTTAATCCCATTTCTGATCATAACTATAAATCTCATGGATAACCTTGTGAGGGCCCCACATCTGGATCTTCTTTAAAGTCAGTTACATCACCTTCTCCATTTCCCTCCTATTCTTTCGAACATGGCATTAGTGAGGGGCAAGTCTCTGATCATGGCCACAAGAGGAACTGAGTTGGGGAGGCGCTGGGACAGGAATGAGGGGTTCCCCTGAGCCCTTGGTACTGTGCACACCAGTGGGGGGCTGAGGAAGAAGGAGCGCTCCAGGGCTGACGGGGCAGCCGGCTGCCCCAGCCAGGCCTTCACACCCAGTCAACGTATATAAATGCATTCCCACTCAGAAAGAAGATTCAGAGGGAACAGTGATGATAATGGACATGAACTGTGCAAAAAACTCAAACAGCACACCTCTGGGAAAAAGAAACAGGGTGATTAACTCTATATTCTATAACCGAATCCCTGGATCCAGGCAGCATTAGTTGCCTAATTTCCTTAGAATGTTAACCAAAGTAATTATATGGCAGCAAAAGCTCAAAGAAATCCCCTTTTTCTCTAAGAGGAAGGCAGAGGACCATTAATGGATATAAAGCAAGAAGACACATTCCAAAATCTGCTCAATTAATTAACACCAGTGAGGACAATCTGGCGTATTACTGCAGCTGTTTGTAAAAAAAGGAACATTTGCCTCTCTAACTGCTGATTTGTTCTAAAAAACAACTCCATTCTGTTCTACAACAGCAAGGTGGCAAGCGGGGAGACAATCGCTACCTTAATGGTCCTACTGCGGCCTTTTGTGAACAAAACCTCTGTGCTTTTAGCAGCTTCAGAGCTGCACTGGTCTCTCACCAGCAACACTATCAAAGCAGCAAGAAGAAAAGATTATGTTAAATGTAATCACAGTTCAAGGCTTCACAGATTTTCCTTTGACCCGCCTCTTAAGGGGATTTAGGACATACCCACGGATCACCCAAGTGAAAACACTGCCCTTGTGCCCAGAAGCAGCCAGCTGCCGCAGACGGCAAGCACAGAGGCCACGTCCTGAGGCAGGGGTGCAGCCCCACGGCCCGGCCCTGGGAGCCACGCTGGGCTGAGCCGCAGAGGACAGCCTGGCTGGTGCCCACCTCTTGGCCACAGCCCACCCTACTGAGCTCTCTCATCTGACCTCTCTCTCTAGAAACCTGGATCAGAAACTAAGACAGCAGGTCCACAGGGCTGTCCTGCCTGTAGACTGGGGTACACTCTTGTCAGTCCAGATGCTGCCGGATGCATGTTCTGGGGCCACCTGGGGCTCAGCGTCAGGGAAGGGTCCCGCCTCACTGCCAGCATCACAGTTCAGTAGTCCCTTCCTAATGCCCCTCCACTCATGCCTGCTCTTTTTTGCTAGGTATTTACCTATCACCACTCTTTACATAGTGGGTCACATATCAAAGGACACTATGGTTGTGGTTAACCTGATGCTTCAAAATAAAATAAAAAATAGGGTTACTTAAACCTATAGAACTCTGGGTGCCTTTCCGAAAGAGATGGCTTCTCAGGCACACACAACGAGTGACCTGCCACATTCCAGAGCTAGTGTGGGGTGCTGGGAGACAAAGCAGGGCCCAAGTCCAGGGCTTTTTCAATTCACCTTTCTCTTCCACACTGATATTTTCCTTTTAACTTTCTGGAATAAAATTTGCACTCATGGCTTTGCATTTACACGGCCTACCTATCTCTCTGACTCTCAAAATAGCACAATTAGCTTCTCCTAAGAGTTCGAGTTCACGAAAGCAAAAGCTCTCTTGAACCTCATCAAGCGCCATGTGAAATTGCATGAGGCCGTCAGCCAAACACAGACTCTGGGCTGGGGTGGGCAGCAGCACTGTCTGGAGCAAGCCGGGCCTCCTCCTGGGCCAGGCCTCACTGGAGTCTATTTCTTGACTCACTCAACACATGATCACTCAGTACCTATGCCGAGCCAGGTACCTAACTCAGAGCTGGGGCTAGCAGCGGATACAACAAACCAAACCCTTCTTCTCTGAGCCACTGTGTTCAAGTTGGAGAAACGGACAGTAAAACAAACTAACAAATTAACCAGAAGGATTCCAGCAAGTAATGGTGTCAATGTACAGAATTAGGGGGTGGGGTGATGGGGTCTGAGGGGCTGCACTGTTTTTAAGGTGAGGAGGCTAAAGCAAGTGCTCTGCTACAGTGCCACTTAAAGAGATCTGAAGGACAGTAAGACTTATTCACGCGGATGTCTGGGAAAGGGGAAGTCCAGGCGGAGAACGGTAAACACACAGCCCTGAGGCACAGTGTGTGGGCTGGAACCCAGGGGCTGTAGAGAAGACAGACCGATGAGGTCAGAGACGAGCACAGGACCAGATCTGACAGGGCTGTGCAGTGTCAGCGGCGAGACGGACGGCGCGGCTGGGAGGCCCCTGGGGGGTCTGAAGCAGAATGATGCGGTCTGATTACAATTAAGGCTATGTGCAAATGAAGAGGCCCCCAAAACGCTCTCTGCGGGCAAGCGCTTCTAGGCTAGTCCAACAACTCGATGGTGTCGCCCAGAGTTTCAGACAATTAAAGTGTATCACCGCAGCCTGCACTGGGCCAGGGAAAACCATGCCATGGTTCTGCCCACTGCTCCTATTCAGCTGGTCCTTAGCTGACTGCCCACAACTCCACAGGCCTTCTAACATCTTCAACTCTCAGAGACTCCGATTCTAGCAATGAAGCCCTTCACCCACCACTGGTGACAAACTACAAGTAGGGCCTCAATATACCGCCATGTCACAAGTTTACCTACTTTACCACTGGCCAAGCTGTGACTCCGGCTCCTGACGACAGCTAATGCTAACTGTGGGATTTGGGAAAGTTCCTCTTCTCTCTGGGTTTTAATTTTTTCCCTTATAAAATTAAACTTAAGAGGCTCTTAAGTTCTTGCAAGTTTAAAGAAAGAAAAGTATATATGCACACATAATTATAGTTTTCATTTCACAGTATTCATGATCCCTCTTTTTTGTCAGCCATAGGTCTCAGATTCAAAACTCAGCCTGGACGACTCCTATTTTGCCTTTCAAAGCTGTACTCAACTGACCACATCCACCATTGCACAGTACTTCAATCTTCCCTCTCAAGGATGCTCAGTGTAAATCAGCACAATCAAGTAGTCTGCTTTTTAAAAAGGAAAAGAGAGGAGAGGAAATGTAGAGAAGGATATAAAGGAAAAGAAAAGGAGGAAAAACTAATAATGATGTTATTGTGTGAGCCACAAGATGTGTGATTTGAAGAAATCTTCTAGCTATCCAAATTTGTCCCTGAAACTCAATTTTGTCCTCACTCCTAATCTAGTGATGATAGATACAGGCCTTTTTCAATATGCAAGAACGCTTATAAATTATATTTTATAAACTTTTCTTCCCATTAAGGGAAAGGTATTCATTAAAATGTGGGGCACACACTAGTACATGTGGAATGATTTTAAGTGGTGCATGAACGCAGTTTTAATAAATTTGTAATTTAACTTATCAAAAACTACTACCAAACTAAATTATTTCTTCACAGATATTAATGCTTAAGACAAAGCTAAGCAAAAAAGGGTGATTCAGTTTAAAGTGAATTTTAAAAAACTGCTAAGTAAGCATGAGACCAGAATTACCAAAATTCTGAAGGTAGTGTCTGAATGAGTAGTGGGAAACAAGGGAGGTCTTCATTTCAGAATCCTTTTAGTTGAGGTCAAAATAATTTATTGGAGAATGGTAGGGAAGAATTAGCTTCCCTGGCTGCTCAGTGGTAAAAAAATGGCTGCTCAGTGGTAAAAAATCCACCTGCCAACGCAGCAGATGCAAGTTCAACCCCTGGGTCTGGAAGATCTCCTAGAGAAGGACATGGCAGCCCATTCCAGTATTCTTGCCCAGGAAACCCCATGGACAAAGAAGCCTGGCGGGCCAATCCTCAGGGCTGCAAAGAGTGGGACATAACTTAGCGACTCAGCACACATGCACGCAGAGAAGAGCCAGTTAGTCTAAAATTGACTCTTATAATTCTCAAGTCTACAATTTTTCCATATATAATTTTTTTTACTCAAAAAAACTTTTCTCTTAGCTACCTGTCTTTAAGTATTTCCACTGAGAACCCCATGTTCTTAACAGGAATAGAATACCATCACTATTGAATTTAAACTAGAAAACAATCAGTTTAAAAAAATGGCTGTTTTCTTCAATTATGTTGGAACATTATCAACTGCCTTCTAGATTTACTTACATTTTTCAGGCGGTGTTATTGTAATAGTCTGAGCTGTAAATTCTTCATCAAAATATCTGGTGTCTGTCTCAGACGTTACTTGAGGCTTAAAAGGAGGTACAAGCTGTAAGAAGCAAAAGGGTACTGTTATCAGACTTTAATTTAGGAAAATACATTTCTAGGATAAAATTAGAGAGCAAATATTGAATGAATAGTGTATGAGGTTAGACTTCTCTGTCACTGTACAAGGCAGATGTGTCTTTGGCTTCATGGTCAAGGTATTTGGCTTCATGGGTAAGTCTAAACAGAGAAGAGTAGATATTTGGTTGTTCTATATAACATTTGAGGAGTTATGTGAAATAGAACAAATGAAAACCAAAGAAAAGAATGGGAAGAGAATATTGAAAAGTCTGTCCCAATAATTTTTCCTAGGAAAGTACATACAAAACCAATGGATCTGGACTGCTGTCACAGAACATAGGGTCTTCCTGCTAGAGGAAAAGTACGTGCTGGCTTTCTCTAGCTCTTCCTGGTGCCTGGTTTAACAGGTTATTATTAAAAATGCAACTTAATAACACAGTTATTACCTAGGTTGCAAATAGAGTGCTGCCTCTGTACCTGGCAAAGACCTGTAACTCTGCTAGCCTAAGATGGGTCTTACTATCTGTCCCTGCGCTGAAGAGGGCCTTGCAGCAGCCCCTGATGTGATGCGCAAACGTTCTGTTCATAGATTTGATAGGCTCCTCAAAGGGAGCCATGATCCAAAAGATCAGGAGGAACTACTCTAAGGGTTGAGAGAACTGGACTCATTTGCCTCCAACCCACAGCAAGCATGTGGTGGGGGAAGAGCCCTGGGCTGCTGAAGGTTACAGAAGCCTGAGTCATGTGAACCTCTGCATCGGTAGCCCCCACTGGCCCGTGGGGCTGGAGCCAGGAGGGGGTTCCTGCTTCTCAGGGCTCCCAGCCTCACAGGTGAGAGTCCACAGGTTTAACACAGGGAGCCCAGCCCCAGAGCATACTCTGACGAATACCACTCTAATGAATGGTGGTATTCATTCTGATGCTCTGATGAATACCATGAAGAGAGAAAATGAAAAACAGAATGACAGAAATTAGTATGTTTTATAATAATTTTACAGAAACGAACACCCAACTGGCATCACTCAATGCACTTTCCACACTTACTGTCACCAAATTTATGTTAAACAGTAAGACAAAGATCTTTAAATTATTCTCTAGATGGACTATGCTTTAAAAAACCAAGGGGTAAGCAAAGTTAAAAGCATGTTTTCAAAATAAAGGAACGCATTTCAGTTTTTAGCACATGTTATAAAGCATTTGAAATTTTTTTCTTTTGAACATTCTTTCCCTATGCCCCCAATACATAGATATTCTAAAGTCTCTATCACTAACAAGCACTCTTTCTTGGGGGAACTGAATCAAATTCAGGTTGCAATGATCAACTGTTGCTAAGATAACAACATATTTCCAGTGGCTCTGTTAGGATGACTGGACACAAGCAAGCAGTTCACACCACTGATGGAAATCTTCCCTCTCCCATTCATTCCAAAGTACAACCTCACACTGCTTTATCCTCCTTCAAAAGACTTTTCAACACCTGACACACACCTGATACACACGTACATCACCATTACACCTCCTCTGCAACAAAATTAAAGTCCCATGAGAGCATGATTTTGCAAATCCCTCTGGCATCATAGACATACATATAAGAACACCAATGGTGACAGTGACTGCAGAATTTGGGGTTTTCCTTCAAGAAAACAGAGGGATAACTGCCTCTCTTGCAGAAAACCAGGAGACAGGGATTTTGGTTGTAACTTTCTGATTCACTATTCTAGAAATGTTCCAAAACTAGGTCTCACCCTTCTAATAAGAAATTAAGCACAAGAAATTCTTAGAGCAGAAATGGCTTCTATTGAGAATGCAGAGTAGGTTTTGCTTATCTCTGCCCACCCTTCCCATCTGTTTCCTTCTGATGGCAGAAACTTAAATCTGCCTTCACGTTAAGAGAAAGATATTATCTTTTTAGATGAGAGAGAGAATGGTCACCTGAAACTTTAAAAAAAAACTGAAACAAACTTTATGCAGTTTTCACAATACTACAGGGAGTTCAAACTAGTCTCTATTCAAATATCGTATCATATTACCTGACCACCTCTCTCAAACACCTGCCCTCCCCTCCCCACTTTCTATCCTCACACTGCTTTCTCTTCAAAAAACTTTTCAACAACTGATCCATATCTACCTATATATACACACAGAAAAAATACAGGTTTATTGTCATCATAATTGTGTCTCCTCCCCAATAAAATATAAGTTCCATGAGAGCAAGTCCTTATAATTTATTGAGGTATGGTTGACATAAATTATAAATATATCTTAAAATAAGGCTATACAAAAAAGTATACAATTTCATGTTTTGACATATGTATACACCCATGCAATAAAGATGATGAACTCACCCATCACTTACAGATGTTTTCTCATAACCCTGTATAATCCCCTCCGCTCTTCTAATCACCTGCAGGCAACAGCTGATCTGCTTTCTGTCACGAACGATTTGCTTATATCTTCTCAATTTTTATGTATTTGGAATCGAATAGTATGTATTCTTCATCTGGTTGTTTTCACTTAGCATGGTTATTTTGACACTCATCCACGTCACTGCATGTATTGACAGCTCATCCATTTTACTGCTGGGTAATTTTTGTTGTTGTTCAGTCGCTCAGTCATGTCCTACTCCTTGCCCCCCATGGACTGCAGCACACCAGGCTTCCCTGTCCTTCACAATATTCTGGAGTCTGCTCAAACTAAGGTCCATTGAGTCGATGATGCCATCCAACCATCTCATTCTTTGTCACCCCCTTCTCCTCCTGCCCTCAATCTTTCCTAGCATTAGGGTCTTTTCCAGTGAGTCAGTTCTTCACATTAAGTAGCCAAAGTATTGGAGCTTCAGCTTTAGCATTAGTCCTTCCAATGAATATTCAGGATTGATTTCCTTTAGAAGTGACTGGTTTGATCTCCTTGCTGTCCAAGCGACTCTCAAGTCTTCTCCAGCACCACAGTTCGAAAGCATCAATTCCTTGGCGCTCACCATTCCTTATACTCCCAACTCTCATATCCATACATGACTACTGGAAAAACCATAGCTTCGACTAGACGGATCTTTGTTGGCAAAGTAACGGCTCTGCTTTTTAATATGCTGTCTAGGTAGGTCACCGTTTTTCTTTCAAGGAGCAAGCGTCTTTTAATTTCATGGCTGCAGTCACCATCCGCAGTGATTTTGGGATCCTAAGAAAATAAAATCTGTCCCTGTTTCCATTTCCCCCCCATCTATTTGCCATGAAGTGATGGGACTGAATGCCATGATCTTCATTTTGTGAATGCTGAGTTTCAAGCCAGCTTTTTCACCTTCTAAAGAGACTCTTTAGCTCCTCTTTGCTTTCTGCCATTAGAGTGGTATCAACTGTGTATATGAAGTTACTGATATTTTTCCCAGCAATCTTGATTCCAGCTTGTGATTCATCCAGCCCAGTATTTCACATGATGTACTCTGCATATAAGTTAAACAAGCAGGGTGACAATATATAGCCTTGACGTACTCCTTTCCCAATTTGGAACCAGTCTGTTGTTCCATGTCCGGTTCTAACTGTTGCTTTCTGACCTGCATACAGGTTTCTCAGGAGGCAGGTAAGATGGTCTTGTATTCCCATCTCTTGAAGAATTTTCCACAGTTTGTTGTGATCTACACAGTCAAAGGCTTTAGGGTAGTCAATGAAGCAGAAATAGATGTTCTTCTGGAATTTGCTTATTTTTTCTATGATCCAATAGATGTTGGCAATTTGATCTCTGGTTCCTCTGTCTTTTCTAAATCCAGCGTATAAGGCCTCCTCAGACAATCATTTTGCCTTGTTGCATTTCTTTTTCTTGGGGATGGGTTCGGTCACCACCTCCTGTATAATGTTACAAACCTCCATTCATAGTTCTTCAGGCACACTGTCTATCAGATCTAATCCCTTGAATCTAGAATGGCCTAGTGGTCTTCCCTACTTTCTTCAGTTTAAATCTGAATTTTGCAATAAGGAATTCATGATCTTGAGCCACTATCAGCTCCTAGTCTTATTTTTGTCGACTTAAAGGTGACATAGATTATGGAACTTTAATTGCCATTTTAATTAAATAAATGCTGTGGTTATCTCATACACCATTCTGTAATGACATACATGGATCAAAAGTACTGGGAACACAGACTCTGACAGTAAAAACTGTCAACTGTTGAATGTTTAGATTTGCCATAGGCACTAATCTGGTGCTACTGCTCCACCTCTTTAAAATAACTCAGGAGAGTAACTAAAATTAGGCAAGGATTCGTATTTATTTAATCTCTAATTCTTCTGAAAAACTGGTTTCATGGTTTGTGAGTGTGTGTGTGTGCACGTCTGTGTATTCCAATATATACAGGTATTGGAAAAATGGGAATATGGAAAGAGGATTTATTTCAGACAAAACTAACAAGATTTAATTATATTATCTGCCAAGCTTTCCCATGCCAATTATCCTTACAGATGACCAAAAACTCAAGAACTATTTTTCATTTTTGCAAAATTAGTAAACAATAGTAATTCATGTACATAATGTTCACTTTGATCTCATAAAAAAATGCACCAAGGGATCCAAGGTATATATCACACTAATATACAATTATTATATCATGAATTGACCCCAACAAAATGACTATTTTAGCTATAACACACATTAAATATTTAATTAATACACCTAGAACTTAGAAGGGCTTTTGACTGTAGATCTGTGGATAGGTGATACTGTTTCACAAGCATCCACAGGTACAAGGCATATTTGAAGATTTCAGTAATACTTGGAAAAGAGCTGCTTATAAAGGTAAAAGTGTTCTCATTAGTGAAATGAAAAGGGACTTACTGGATGCTCCTGTGATAGTGATGGCAGGCAAATTCCATGCATTATAAATTCAGGGTTCACTGAGAACCTGCTGAAACAAAGTATTCTTTATCCCTCCTCTAGGAGATTTCATAGGTATTGCCTGGCAGCAGCAGTGTGGCAGCCACTCATTACTATTTCTGA